TCAGAGGGTTTTAGAACCATTAAGAGGCAGACTTTTTTTTGCCAAATAAGATATACCTCTTAACGATTCAGAAATTGTCTCTTAATGAAACTATTAAGAGGTAAACAAACAACCCCTAAATATTAGAGATGTTTTAATAGCACAAGAGAAATGTGAACGTTGAATATGTGAAAGTGAGGAAGTTTGACCAATTAAGACAGAAAAGGTCAAAATTGGACCGACAATAGTCGTCCAAAATAAAGCACCTCCTTCCACACGGCAATATAATTTCTTGAAAACTACCACTCGTCTAAATTATTTATTCATTTTTAAAATTCTTTCTAAAAATAGTTGAAGAAAATATAAGTATGGCAATTCAAAAAAAATACGAACACGAAACTTGAATCCGTGTCTGTAAAAAGTTAAAATATAATCTGTTAAGATCATTTTCAACAATTATGTTAAAATAGAGAAAACTGCGATTTCAACACAAAAATTTACTCCAACAGTCTGCTATCTTGTATGCTAAAATAGAAAAAAGAAGAGAGAAGATAGAAATCGAGAAATTTAGAAAAATCTCTAAGGGGCTGTTTGGCAATTGTTGAATGGTTTGATGCAAAATGATTAAGTGGTCAGAATGATTAAAACGCTATCATGATATAGTGCGAAATGAAATATAATTGTTTGGTAATTGTGTACAATGAAATTAGGGCTCTTAATGGTTAAGGGAGATTCAAGATACAAAATCATTCAGAGGGTTTTAGAACCATTAAGAGACATACTTTTTTTTTGTTAAACAAGATTCACCTCTTAATGATTCAGAGGTGTTGTCTCTTGATGGAACTATTAAGAGGTAAACAAATAACCCCTAAAACTTTCTATTTAAGAGTGAAAAATAATAATTATTTATCACTAATAGGAGACATAGAAATTAAATGTTTAGGAGAAAGAAATAATATTTTATTAAATAATATTCAATATTTAATTAATATAATTAATGATAAAAATCGCTAAAATATAATAGCTGTTGGAGTTTGGTGTAAATTTTTTTAGACATTTTTAATTTTTGATACTCTATTTTAATAAAATTATAGCATAACTTTTGAAGATGTTTTAAGATATTATTTTGATTTCATAATTACATACATAAGTGTTCTTTTTGGATTTAATTATAAACATTGTTTATGTAAATTTAATCGTTCTTTTTGGATTTAATTTTATGTTGGACCCAATATCTTACACCTGATTTGATCTTCGTTTTGTAGAGCAACCTATCACAGTTGTTAATGGTAAATCTGGTCAGTTTGGAATTATAAATGCGCTAATATATGTACGTTGCAATGCAAACTAAGCATTATGTCAGTAGTTAAATATTCCACCCAAAAGGTAATGGATTACTCCTACAGCACGTCATTGTACAATCCTACCACTCTGTCAGTAGAAAGTGATCCATCTGACTGATACATTCTAAGGGTATACGTTTAATCACTACAAACAGATGGGTTAATAAAACGTGGTTAGAATATCAAACGTTACCTGATAGGTTAGAATTCCGCAAGAGCCGGTTACAAACGTTTACGATACCTATTCTAACACCAGATCCAGCTAAGTAGTTGAACTGATTGTGTATTATTAATAATGACTAGTATAACAATATATATATATAATGTAGATAATAAATATGGCATTATTGAGAAATAAATATAAATTTATATTTTTTAAATTAAAGACATCTATAAATAATTATTGGTTGAAATTTGCAAATGAGAATGTGGGGGACCCCATTTATTTTGGAACCAAAATATCAAGTATAATGCTTATCCTTTTCAGAAAAATAAATACATCAAATAATTTAAAACATATTTTAATTAGATAAATCGATCTTTTAAATTTTCATAGTACATCAAAACGTATCTTATACAACAATTTACCTGGTAAGCGCTTACTTGGGTAAGAGTCGTCACCCTCACTTACCGGGTAAGACGCTCCATCCTTATCATTGCTCTTATCGGGTAAGATTATTGGCTTTTGCCATGTTCATTCGGTGAGAAAAATTACCCGTAACCGTTTAGTAAACGGCTTCTTACTCTCTCTCTCTCTCTCGACGGATGAGTTGCCCTTACGACATTGGGTCATCTTAGTCGTCGGGCTTAATCAATGTTTTGCCTTCTAGCTCGATCATTTCGTTGTTTGTAAGTTTTAAATCTTGTTTATTGTAATTTACGATATTTCTTGAGTTTTGTTCTTCGTATTGCAATTTTGTTTTTGTTTTAAATGATGTGATGTATTTCAAAACAAAATATCATCAGTTATTAATTAAACATCTAAAGTGTAATTGATAAAAAGATTTGCGAACGAATTGAAACTCTATTTTTCAATATCTGGTAATAATTATTTGTTGATAAAAAAGAAATAAACTCGGTGAAATCTCACTCGAAGAAAAAGTTAAAAAAGCAGGATCAAAACTACAGATATATTTTAGACGAAAATTCAGTTGCAAATATGATTTCCATTGTGAACTGAGGGATAAAAAATGTGACGCATGTCATGTCCAGTTTATCATGAATAAAACATGAACTTTTTACATCATTTATGATGAATACCCTGTAAATATTGAGATATGTGACTTGCTTTCATCTGTCCACTAATTCATAACCGAACTTGGGGGCTTTTTTGTTCTTGGAATTCAAAGTAATTTGATAGAATTTGAATGACAAATTCATTTGACCAGATTCTTTGATGATGTTTGTTTTCGGAATGAACTGATTAGATTCCACTGAATTCCATTATTGAGTTATGTGATCATTCCTTAGGGAGTGTTTGGTTCGTCGGAATCTGATGGAATTGGAATGGTTAATTCCGTTGACCAAATTCCATTCCAACATTTGGTTACCTATGGTATGGAATTGAATTCCAAGGATTCCCTCATTTGAAGGATTTAACCATTCCTTCATGTGATGGAATTAAAATCCATTCTATCCAAATTTATGTAAATGACAAAAACACCCTCATTAGACTTTTATGTAAACCCTAGCCGCTCCATTCTCATCTACTGCTTCTACCCATCGCCTCCTAACAAAGAACGTTCCTTTCATATTCTCAATCAAACACTGCTTTCATCTTCTCGATCAATCGAACACTGCATGTCGAATCTTCTCGAATGTTACTGATTTGTACATCTTCTCGATCAATCGAACACTGCAGGTTGAATCTTCTCGAATGTTACTGATTTATTCATCTTCTCGATCAATCGTACACTGCAGGTTGAATCTTCTCGAATGTTACTGATTTATTCATCTTCTCGATCAATCGAACACTGCAGGTCGAATCTTCTCGAATGTTACTGATTTATTCATCTTCGAGTGAACTGCTACTGTTTTCAATCTGTTTCATCTTATGATTTTAGTGTTACTGCTTTCATCTTCTAATTTAATTTCGATTTTTGATTTAATGTTACTATATGTTTGATGAATTGTCCATGGTTAAGGAATTTATGTTCAATTAATTTCCCTCAACAACTTGATCTCAGAAATGTTACCAACAGAAAGGCCTGGAAGTTAGTAAATAACCACAAATCATGGTGTGTAATGCAAATAACAGAACCTTTTCAATGGTACCCTAACTGTATAAAGTGGTCAAGGTTGTTAAGATTTACAAAGAACAAGGTTCTTGTTTTGGTATTTTGGAGTGTGAACCGAAGATGTTTTATGTATACAGTCTGTTGTAACTGAAATCTCATGAATATATATATTGTAATTCCAAATGACATATGGCGTAGCTTTTTTCCTTCCTGGGTTCCACCTAACTGACTCAGACTCAACCTGCATCTTAAATAGATCAAGTTAAGATTGATCCCTTGGTCTCTCAACATTTAACAAAGTTAATCTGCTAGTCAAATACTCAGATGCAATAATCTATTTTGATTTTTGAACATGAAATTGTACTGCTTTGTATATATTGGGCTCACTGATTTAACAACATTTAACAAAGTTAACAAAGGGTGTTTTTGTCTTTTTTCATCATTCCATTCTAATTCTGTTGCAAACCAAACAGGCAGATTCCAATTCATTAGATATATTAAATTTCATTCCTGCCAATTTAATTCTCATTTTTTCCAAATTCAAATTCTTTTGACAGATTTCATTTCTTTAAAAATCATTACGCGAATCAAACACCTCCTTAGTGTATGTGAAAGATTTGAATTACATTTTGTGGCAACTGTAACATAATTTATAATTTGGTTTTAAAAAGACAAAAATAATCTTTGCATTGAATTTAACCACCACCACCTTCACTCTCACCAGTCACCACCCCTACCGCCAACATATATATCTGTCACCACAGTCTCCACCACCGCCACCATTGTGCCATTGCCACCACCACTACCATCACCATCAATTAATAGTATCATTCCACCGTTGTCACCCCCATACATCCCCCACCACACCACTATTGTTCGTCGTCATAGCCACCGCCTACCCGCCCTCAAACCAACTTTGCCACCTACCTACCCCTAAACCAAACACCGTCACACCACTATCCTCGTCGTCATAGTCGCCACCCCCACCCCCTCCATGACACATGCATGTTTCAATTATTTCATGGGATTACATCAAATTCTTGTCAACTAAAAGTGTTGGTAAATTCTATTCCAATTTCTTCAAAATCAAATTACTTTGATTCTATGAACCAAACATTCTCCTAAGTTTGCAACTAAACCTGTCCGATACATTCTTAAAGATATAATAATTGTTTTTTTTTTTTTTGAAAATTATTATTTATTGATAAGAAAATTAAAAAATTAAAATTTGTTTAAAAAATACTAAAAGAATAAATTTATAGAAAAAATCCCCTACAAAGTTGGGACCAATGAGGCCTCGTTACCGACCACAACTTTGACTCTACACCTCACAATAACTCAACGTCATCTTCGTTAACGAACCGGTCAAACTTCCCTCTTCTTATAAATCAAAACCCCAAACTGACCTCCAGTCTTCACCAAGCTCACAACCCTAGAGAGAGAAACCTCCATAACAGCTCAAGTTTCTAGAGAGAGAAAGTGGGCGACCTGAGATTCTAACACAAACAAAAATGGCAGGATCGAAGTTTATGCTCGTGATGGTGGTTGCATCTATGATCCAGTTGCAAACCACGGTGGCGCAAACTAATCACACCGTCGGCGACACCTTGGGGTGGACCATTCCTTCGGCAGCAAACGCTTACGCCACCTGGGCTTCCGGCCAGAACTTCACCGTCGGCGATTCTCTCATTTTCAACTTCCCCACTGGTGCCCATGACGTTGCAGAAGTTACAGAAGCGGCGTATGGCCCATGCACCATCACCGACACCATCAACACCACCACCACCGGCCCTGCAACCATCAACCTGAGGACGGCCGGTCCTCACTACTATATATGTACCTTTGGAACCCATTGTCAAAGTGGTCAGAAACTTGCCATCAACGTCAGTGCAACAGCTTCAACTCCTCCGTCGTCCTCCACCCCACCTCCCGCCGGTAACACCACCCCACCACCGTCACCGAGTACCGCATCACCAACGTTAACCACCGTGGTACCCATCACTTTCTTGGTGGGTTCTTTGGCAGCTTTGTTTTACTAGATTACTTTTGAGTGGTTCTTGTTTTTGTTTGCCTTGGAGTTTATATATATGTGATGCATTTTTATTTTTTTGTACGAAAATAACCGGATAAATTGAATAAAAATGTAACCTACTTTAATTTGATTCTTATTTTACGTAATATATTTTTAAAGCTTTCATTTTGGTATCTAAGATGAATAAAATTCAAGTATTTACTGATTTAACCCTCAACCAGTTACAATACTGATGTAATTGATGACGTGAGATACAAAACATGTCTTCTTGGACTAAAGCTAGATTGGTTGTCGAGCCTGCCATTGTGTTACAAGCTAGTTATGATATCATGTTAAAATATGTTGAATCTTTGTTTCTCTGTATAAAAAACACTTGGTTTATTGAAATTGGAATTATGAAATCCTTTGACCAAATTCCATGCATTCCATTGAGAAGACTATTTTACTCTACCACCTCCGACCACTACCATCATCCCCAGAAAAACCATCCGGTTATCATATTCTCATTCGAATTCTGAACCTACATTATATGAACCAAATAAACAAATTCCAATTTATTTTACAAATTTTATTCCAATTCTTCATAACCAAATGTTTGATATATTTTAAGATTCAATCCCCTAAGAGGGTCCACACACACACATATATATATAGAGAGAGAGAGAGAAGGGGGCGATTAAATGCAAACCATCCAATTTGTACAAACCGTGCAAACCATCTTTCGATTTCATTGTTTAATCTTATGAAAAATTTTTATTAAATTGTTTAATTTTGTGAAATTATTTCATATAATACATTTTTTGATAAAGTTGTTTCATATATGGTTATAAAATTGATATTTAATGAAATTGTTTCATGTATTTCTTTAAAATTAAAATAATAAAGATGATCCATTATTAACACTCTCCACAATAAAAATAATTGATCAACCTCTCATAATTACAAAAAATTGAACAAAATAAAAAATTATGATGAATTGAATGAGGTTTATATGGTTTGTACAAATAACGTGGTTTGCAAAATAAATATTCTCTCTCTCTCTCTCTCTCTCTCTATATATATATATATATATATCTATACTATATTATAATGCATTTGGCTAAAAACTCTTAAACTCTTAAAACTCTTAAACCCGTTCATCCCTATCTGATTTCATCCCATAACTGAATCCGTGTAACTAACTGCAGATAAACACAATCAAATACAGGATAAACATCTTATTTTAAATATAAAAAATCTAAAATATAATTAGGATAATCATTGAGTTCT